TAAATTCGACATATGGCTCTAGTTATTAGAAGAAAAAAGTGTGGAATCAAAGAAGTTCATATTTAAATCTTGGTAGCCAAGAAATTATTAGATTGTCGTTGTTCCAAGATTTGATTTGACAAATAGCTTAGAATTTCATTAAAACAACTCCCTACTATACAAACCCAGTATAACGCAGAAAGTGACTTGCCATAAGATGTACCAATCGGGTTTAACTTATCGAGTGCATCTATTCTCTTTTCCTAGGTTGAATAAATTATGCCTGTGATTTATGTAGCTAAGTGCACTTTTCTGCGAAGCTTTGAAATCATAAGCCCTGTATTAACAGCAGAAAGATGCTTGTATACGGTTATAGGTCTCAGTTTATAACTTTTTTATGTTAATAGATATTATTACGTTATGCCGTTTATATTATTATTTTGTACTCAAACTTATATGAAATATTTAATATATAAACAAAGATATAATAGAAAATCATTTAAGATGACAATTTTTTTACTTAGTACTGAAAGCCGTAAAGCAGAATGTTAAATAAAATATGATAAACAATAGAATAAAAATATATACTCGTACATTTATTTAAGAGATACGAATTTATATAAACTCTGCAATTAATGGAATGTTTTTTGTGGAAAATACATTTCCATCGTGTCATATGATATAATATGATAAAAGCAAAATCTATAAGGGCATCAATCAAATATTTTCTCTTTAACAAAAAATCTAGTAACAGCACCATAAAAATATCATTTACTTCATTTTGCTTCATTGAATTTGTGTTACATATACACAAAATTTTAATTCTATAAAAAAGTTCAGTCGGGTATTCAAAAAAAGAATTTTATGTATAAAAAGTAAACTAAATACATTTTTAGGATAATTGTTCGCCTTAATATAAAACTAACAAGGCGCCATAATAAATAACTGTCTATCTTAGTAAGTGAGTGAGTAACGTCCCACGTCTGAAGCATCTAATTTCAAATGTGCAAGACATTAGTTTGATCTACCAAGTTGCTTGAAATCGCTTAAGTGGATTACATATTTTAGAAAGCTTCTCATGGTTTTTGCTTCGTTTATGCTATTTATTTCTTCATCCACCCAACCTAGAGAAATAAATTTTTAACCAAATTCTCCCATCTCGAAATCTAATCCGACAACAGCACTGCACATTCATAATAACGGCTACGCTTGGGTCTTTGTATTTATCATACATTGCCACTAGTTACATCTACATCAAACAATGCTATGAACTCCATGGTGTAGTTTAATTATTCAAGTTTTTGAGAAAACTAGTTTAAAAGAGTAGATACCGAGTTTTCTGTCGGTAACTTCTCGGTTCAGGCATTTCAGACCGTTGTAAAATTCAATTTAATTTTAAATTGTACTAAAAGCTCTGTAATTGTTCCTCTCTTTTCATATAAGAATCAATAGTATATATATATATATATATATATTTTAATATTTTACTCTATAAATTTTGCTTCTTTTTATTTAAATGAGTAACCTATATTTCTTTCAAGTTTCATTAAAGCCTATAAACAATTTTTTGGTAGTAACTTTTCTATCAGTAAAATATGCTTTCATATTAATATTTTATAAAAGTGGGATAGGATATTTAAAGTAGTATTGCTAGTTTAAAAGGAATTTAATGTTCACTTTAAGAATGTGAGACATGCCGAATATGCTAAACCGATTTAACTCTAACGGCACAAACAAATGACTGTGGTTCTGACGCACACACAAATTGGAAATACTCCTTTTATTTCGTGTAAACGAAACCCTAGTGCTTTGAAACTAGCTCAAACCATTTTTAAAAGTTTACGAAAAGTTCTAAAAATATAGCATGATTGTTAAATAAATAAACTATTGCCATACAATCTTATTATGTACATGTTAAAATAAAAAAATATACATATAATTCGAGTGATGTTGCTGATTTTCAAAACCATTATTATGACAGGCCTTTGGAAACAGAATAATCTTAATACCTCGGAAGAATAATGATAGCAATGGTATTCCAACATAACGTGGAAACCATCAAGTAGGCTTAGGTGTAGGTTATACTTTTTATTATATAGATGTTATCATAACCTTCGTTTAAAGAAGTCTTCATTGTTTCCCTGGAATCTTTGGTTATCTCGACCCTCACTTATATAACTGACTACAAAAAAAATCAAATAGTTTTAGTAGAAGTCGTTCAAAAGAATTCTCTTAGCTTAATAATTAAGTTATAATGTAGCCATCTAATATAACGTCGCTTTTTTAGGGTATAAAAGAGTGTCTGGTTCAGAACAGATATCTTTTCGATTATATCAACATTTATAATCGTAGAAATTTTGGAGCCTTTATTTTTTCCGTCATGAAATGTAAATATGAGTGATTAGAGCAGACGAATAAGCATTCACTTTATAAAAGGAAACATATAAGAATATGTGTTTAGTTATTTTTGATAATTATATTTTTTCGTATGGTCTAAAAGAAGAATCTATTTGGTATAATATTTGTTGCGTAAACTTTAAAACTTAACATAACTTTTCTCTCAAATATTATATTAATGGTTGTAATTAGGCAAAGGTAAAGGTTTAGTGGTGGCTGTCAAGATGATTTATTAACTAAATTCTATTGACTGCTTCAACTGTCAAGACAGTTGCTATAATTAACGTCATTAAGCACTCAAGATATACATAAATTATGTATAGAAATTATAATTTCATACAAAAACTAAAGATTCTAATTAATTTATATGAAACTTCTTCATTTCATAAATAAATTTAAAAAATGTAAAGATAAAACCGCTTGTCTAACAGAGGTTAAGGATATATTTAATAGCAAAACGTATTGTTTATTCCATTCACATTTCCAAGGAATTACTAGAAGGAATCTATTCGAAATCCTAGCCACGTCAAAAGCGCTTTGCAACGAAATAAATTGTCTTGCCACTTTTTGAAACTTAAATTTCAATTCGAACAGAGACGTAAGAATACATCAATTTAATACTAAATAAGGTCTCACCTTCGCGTAATAAATATTTTTAGTAACTAGAACTTGTATGCTATAATGCCATAAACTAAGGTATTGTATATACATATATAGTAATGTACTCACATTACATTTAAGAATACAATGACAATTTTGAGTAAACCTCAGAGTAGAATTTCTTAGAAAGTATTATTTTTAAGTTGAAATATATTTTAAAAAATGAAATATAAGTCTCAGGGGCCAATTCAGTGATGTAAGCATCTCATTAAATTCATTCTGTGACAAAGGCTCTTTAGTGTTTTCCAAGTGTCCAAAAGATGCCCTCTGTTCAGGCCAGTGACTTTTATTTGACAGTAATTAGATTTATGTCAATTTAGTGAAATTCTTAACTACAAACTAATTACATAACATTACTGCTTTATCTTTTTGTAATTAAATAAAGTATTCTATTTCACTAACAAATAGTTTCAACAGGCCTTTTCATATACATATAAGCGACTGTCTAAAAATTAAAATCAAGAAAGGAGATCTTATATTTTTTTTATACTTATGCTTTATTTATTTTACAACAATATGACATATTTATAATTAATAAATAATCGCTTGTGGATTCTACTTTACTTTAAAGATAATCCTAAACGTATGACGCAATTGGCATCTCAGTAAGCTTGATGCCAAAAAAACTACGCTAACTAGTACCAAAACGTCGGGAGTTTGTAGTTAATAATCAAAAATATAAATCGTGTAGTGAATCCGAAAATATTAGTTTTATTTAAACTACGCTATTGTATGAATATATCTTTGAAAAGAATATAGTTCACAAAATAATATTTTATCATATATATATAAGAAGTAAAAATATAAAATACGAAAAACCTCTTGTTTTATTAAACATTGGAAAAATTATTACATACAATTTATTTACACAAAATAAACCGATTCCGACACAGTTTTAATTCGGCGTGGTAGGTTTTACTCCATTACTTTTTAAATATAATATTTCACGAACCCATTATTGTTGAAAAATATTATTATGCAAACATTTTTAAGCAAACCTATAAAAGCTTTTATCTGTGTATGTCTACCTGGATATATCAATCGAGAAGAACGTACGCAAGTGTTGAAAATAAACAACAAATCTTTATTTGATTTTGGTGAAAACAAATAATTTCGTTATTTCTTTTTTAATACTTTTTTTTTCGTTTTGTGCTTTTCATATTTATCATTCACTCTGATAACTTACATATTATATTCCTAAATCACTACTATCTATAAACTTACTTTAATATATCATAGCAATCCTCATTAACAGAATCCTATTAAAAATTGTAGTCTATTTGAAATAAAAATGAATTTAATTTGCCTGTGGCTATAACTGTTTATTTTATTGACCATATAACAATTAATTGTATCTAAATTAAAAATAAATATTTCATTGAAATTAAATTATTTCATGAGCAATAGCCCATGTAATAATTAACAGCTAGTGAATTGTCGTTAGCCGTTAGTTGTAGTGCCTTGTTCATTCCCTGGAGTAAATAAAATATGTCTGCCATTTATAAAGTTAAATGCACATTTCACGGGAACTTCGAAAACAAAATTTCTCTCTCTTACATTTTAAAATAATTTTGCTAATTAAAATAACTCAAATTTTCATTATTAAATTTTATTTACAATTTTTTAATAATATACGTCGTATTCGTCTATCAGCTTGAAAGCCGAATCATCGTCGGAATCCACGCCGCTGATCTGGGATGCGAACGAGAAAAACAACGGGTTCAAGCTCTATATAAATAAACCCTAAATATCATACCTACGCCCTCCGGAAGAGCGTCAGCTAGCCAGTCCCAAAGCCAATCCATCCCAAAACCTTTTAGAAGTGCTAATAGAGACTCCGCGAAATAGCGTTGCACAAGTACAATGCCATAGACCTAATTACACAGCAACTCACAGTGTTTCTACTACGCCAGCGCTGCGTTAAGTGCCTAGGCGACCATACCACGCCAAACTGCAGTACGGTCATGCCTCCAGAGGAGCCGCCAAAGTGCACCCAGTTCGGACAGCAGGGTCATCCCGCAAATTTTCGCCCTCAATCCCCGCTCTGGGAGAAAGTTAGCCAAAGCCCCAACAAACCACTGGACCCGACTTCCATCCCCGCTGCTCCCCCACCCCTCCCAACTAATTATGGTCACAGGCCTAGGCCTGCTAGCGCTAGCGTCATATTAGGACCGACCGACCGACCTAAAGCAACTAGTAGGCTAAAGCCTCGCTCTCAAAATCACCATAGGCGTCCCGAACACTCATCTTAAATTCAGACAATAAAACAAACGACAGACAATACAGACACGAATGAACTCACGACACGCCACAATGACACATACACAAACACACACACCATCACAGGAGGGCGTCATGCAGTCCCATACCCGATGCCACCTAACCCTTTCATCGATGTCCTAAGCCGAGGTCCGGCCTTTTATAGGCACTATTAGGACGGGTTTACCCCCGGGCCCATCAGGCCTCTCTTTAACAGGTAGGTCTTATCGGCCCACCCACCCCTCTCGATGACGCTGTCAAAGCCATTAGTGCTCACAGCTACAGTCAAGTCGAAACTAAAAAAAACTCGTTTTAACCATTTTGACCCATAAAAGGAAAAGTAGGAAAAAGTTTAAGAGCTGGGAGGTTAAATTATCATATTATTGAAATATCAAGTATGTACATAAAAGATTAAAATTGCATAGAAAGTTACATTTTTCGTTTTAAAAATGAAGAAAATTAAAAGCAATTATATGCTAATCCGTACAGATCTCCTAGTTTGCAAAATATTCTTTTATCAAAACGAAACTTCCTCATTTTTTTATTAATTTAAAATTAGAACACTAGTTAAGATGTTTGTAAAATTTTTCTTTAAAGGCTTGTGAAATAAAAACCAGTACAATTATGTTCTACGTGAATTACATTTCACAATAGATGAACTCTATCCATATTTCATGATAACATTATTGGACATTTCGTTATAACTCGGTATTCATACCTTTTGTTTGACTATTTAATAGCATATTAATTTTCCGCATTGGTTAATGACAACCGCCTATGACTATTGTCTATTTAATCGTTTTATGATAATAGCTAATTATTTAGAAATAGGTTTACATATTTAAAAAATAAGTCAACTTAGTTATGTAAGGCATTAGTATATATTGTTTTAAGCTTTTACATATATGTATTTGATTTTCATTATTTTACGTGTCAATCTAATCAACTAAAACCAATAACAAGATAATTAGGAGAATATGGAATAATCATTTTACGGCCATCTGTTTCGCAAGAAATCCAAAAACCAGATATGTTGACAATTTTAGATAAAAAATATTCTCAAATTATAAAACGTAACGTTCGTAAAATTCTCCAATAGAAAAACGATCAATAAAAACGATCTGGTGCTTAATGATTTATGAAAGTGCTTTCTAAAAATAAAGACCATTACTTCTGGATTTATACCAGAAATCTGAAAATTCATAGCATTCTATTTTGCTGCACTTCGATACCAGTATCTGAAAAGGACATAGATTAAGCACTTTGCCAATGATTTTTCATTCGTAAATCGTTCAAAGCATAATGTTTAGTCGTATACATTGAAAAAATAGCTTATTGATTTATTAAATGTTACTAATAATTACTTACATTTTTTTTGTTTAATAAGATATTTTATATTTTTCGTCGTAATCTTTAAGTTATGAAAGAGGTCAGGTTTAAAATAGCTTAATAAAATATATTTTTTATTCATTCTATAGAATCAATTTGAAAGGCTTTACAAATCCAGTGAAATCCGCAAAAGAATATTCTAAGATACGAAACAAAAGGCACCTCTTATTAAATACATCCTCCCCTTTCAGCTTTGTACATAATTCTTTTGTATCACATTACTGGTAGAATGAATTAACGTATTCAATCACTTTTAATGTTGGATTTAAATTGTTTGTAATTTACAGCTTACTTTATTTGATATATTTGATGTAAAATTTTATAATAATGGCTTAACATTGTTCAAGAAATGTATAAAAATTAGAAGACAGGTGGCTCCTCGTCGTATAAAGTATAACATTTTCATGACTCAAGTGATATAACATATTTGTGCTTATTATTATAAAATACCCTATTTTAGTGAATGTATCTGTGCTATTAATTATCCGTAGTTTCTTATACTTACTACAAGAGCATACTCTAATAGAAGTAGGCACAACATTATTTTAAACTGTTTTTAGTTCAATCTCCAATTTTATTTTAATTCAATGAGTATGTTCACTCAAATACATATTTCATCCATCTATCATGTCGCATTATATGTAAGTGTAATGTTAACGTGTTTGGCAGAACTGATAAAGTTAATAGGCTTATGACGGCTCTCCATGCTAAAACTAATGATTTCAAAAAAACACTAATATCTATATTCTTACAAGAGCTATATTTTCTTCGTAATTTCACAACACCACAATATTTATTTTATGTGTATGTAAAATATGGTTTAAGTTACTATAACTCAAACTGAGATTTCGACCACAAATCTCTAAGAAATATGCGTCACCATCTTTATTTCCATCTTTGTACGTGTATGGCGGCGATGAAATTTGGTGTAATACGAATTTGCTGTTCCTACGTTTAATAAATTACATTAATACCAAATCAGGATCAGCGAATGTCGCTACAAATAAATATTTTCTGAATTATATTTCATAGAACCTCTTATACTTATTTATGTTCTTTTTAAAAGACCAATATTACTATAATTTATTTTATATTTCTTCTAAGCATGTACCGTTGATGATGCCTCATAAATTTTTAGTCAATAAGTCTCACATAGAAGCATTTTATATATTTCTTCCTATATAATTTTCAAAAAGTAGACGCTACAATTTCATATCACGTAGAACTGAACAACCGACAAAGTACCGAACGTGGCAAAGTCCAAAAGCTATTGATAAGAAGCTTTTATATAATGTTTATATATATGGATCTTTATAATTTCCATTACATGAATCAATACACGATTTAATTCTTTTATTTATCGTATTATGATTCACAGAAAACATATTTGAGTTGAACGATATTCTCGTTGTATATAGTTGTATATATTCTCGTTGTGAAGTTAAAAATCAAACTTTTTCATGTTAAATTTTTTTCAAGTCATTGCTCCGAGAAAATTTATAAAATTTTCTATATTGACTTAAAAGAAAAAAAATATTCCTTTATAATGTAGTTATCAATAATAATAGAACAGTTACATTTATAAAAAACCATTGATTTAAAATGCTTACTTTAAATAACGATTTTTTTACACAAGACATGGGCTTCATTATATGTATATTGTCCTTGCTAAAACTTTTGTCAGAACAAATTTTACTGTTGTCATGGGAAATATGAGTTACTTTTATAATAAAATAATGATAGGAATACATCTTTCGATAATTGTTTTAATGTAATATACGAGTAACTAGTGAAGCATCAATTTGTGAGATAAGATTATTTAAATTCTTACTATGACTTACAATATTAATATGATAGATAAGTCTCCATCATATAAATTAAGGTGTTTTTATTAGCTTTTAAAAACTAAACCCTTATCGTATTAAAGTTATAAAAACTGTTCTAGATATTAATGTTTCTAATTTGTACACATATTCATAATAATCTGATAGTCAGTTAACTTTTCAACCATTAATATCTTTCGGGGAAATTTGTTACTTTTATAAGTGTCTTTTAATTAAGTGATAAGTACTTTTAAATTATCATAATACCTCTCGTAAAGTTCTTTAAAAAGAAATACGATAAGCATTATCTACAAAAATAAATTAATACAATTTTTCTTGTACGTTTCGGATTTTAAAATTTTATAAATAAATCGATGTACGTAATTTCTTGCTATTCGATACTAACTTTCGGTTTGGTACTTACTTTAATAAACTTCTTACTAAAAGTATAAATATTTGTAATATATAACAACTAGACTGAGAGCATAAGCGCTACAAACTTAAAGTGTTACTGCTTCTTTTAAAATTATATAAAAAATAAATATTACATATTTTATAATATGTATATAGAGTCAAGTAATACAAATTTCCAAAGTTTTCAATTAACAATATTCATTCATTAAACGCTAGACTCTTTTACATATTATGCAAATTCATGAATTTCGAACAAAGGAATTTAAAGTAAAAGTAAATAGTTTTGGCTAACCACAAAAACTATCGTAAATGGAATTCAATTGCAAACAGACGACAAGGAGGAAAATTTGTACTCGCAACCAAGAAAATAGAATAAATAAAGCCTAAGTACGACGTATTCAATACCCATCTCGGGACATGTTCTCTAATAATAGGAATAGTTTTCCGATCAAGAAAGGAATCTATGCTAGAATTACCATGCCATCGATTCTCCATTTTATCTAATGTTAAAACTAATTCCTTATTTGTTGACAATTGATTTTAATAATTCTTAAAGAAAAAATACATAAGAAAATCAAATTTTTATGTTTGAAATATAATTACATTTAAGCTTAAGTGTAATATTAATAAAGAGAACGACCGTTCAAGGGTATTTAAAAGTAATCCTAAACAAGGCTTTAAAAATGTACCACATATAACCTTGGAATCCACAGCCTTCAGTTTGAATGAAAACTCTTAAACTTTGAAGCCACCTCTTTGTATAAGAAATTTTTGCTTACAACAAAATCCCAAACCACTTCAAGTTTGGTTTCACATCTGCAAACCCTTTTTCTAATAGATAAGATCTTTCAAAATAACATTTATTTAATCTTATAGAATATAAAACAATAAGAAGTTTGAAGGTTGTGATTTTTTTTAATAACGGGAAAACAAAAATTTAAGCCAAATGGCAAATTCAAATGAAAAGATGAGGAAATCTTCAAAAATATATACGATGCTAAGTACATCACGCCGACACAGACTTATTCTATAAAACACAAGTCTACCGTAAAATAGAGTGCTCTTCACATTTTTGGTATGCTGCCCCTCATTACTAAGTCTACACCTATTAAGCATATAAAGAAATGTTTGCTGCTTTGTTTATTCAAGCGATTACATAATATGAAATGTTTTGAAGTATTCGAAAAACATGGCATGTTTTCACCTTTAAAGTCTTCGTCTCTGCACTGCACTTTAACGTGGTTAGATTGTATATGAATTAAAAGTTTTAGTGCCCTCACATTCAGAAAGTAAGATATCTATCTTCCAAATTTTCTCAGATAATAACAAGATGGGAAACGATTTCCTTAATGTCTCTACAATGTATG